TGTTTGTTTGTTTGTTTGTTTGTTTGTTTGTGGTTCCCCATCCATTCCTCTCCTAATGAGAGGGAAGTTTGAAGAGTTTTTTTTTTTTTTTTTTTAGTATCGGAAGATTGGAATCTTGACATGGATCAGGGTAATGAAGATCTTGTCGAAAAGTGCAGCAGAGTAACTGCCAGAACATGGGGCAAGTCCTATCTACCCGAAATCTGCATTTTTGACCTTAGATTATGAAGATCGATGGCCAGGAATGAAGTATCCTGCCAAGTGGGACTTGGCCCCCAAGCACTTTACGAGATAGTAGATACTTTTTTCTGCCAGCTGGAAGAACTCTGTGCAAAAATGACATCACAAATCAAGAAACACTCCAAAAAATGGAAAAAAAAGGAACCGATGAAGCGGGAAGTGATCGCCTTGCGAGCTGTGCAATTCAGTTTCGCCTAGGCGACCGTGGGCAACTGCTGTGTCCACTGGCCAAGCTGCTGCCAGACTGAGGGCTAGGCCCCACTGATGTTATGTCCATGCTAAGAACGCATGGATTTCTTCCATTTTGATGACCAGGATCGTGCACTTTTCGTCACGAATACAGACCCAGTGGAGTCAGGGCGTCAAGCGCAATCCCCACTGGCACACTGGCCTCTGCTTTCACAGAATGATCATTACATATCTGTTTCTATATATGTATATTCGGCCTCGTGATGAGTCGGTGGAACTCCGGCGAAACAGTTTTTGTCACAGCCCCTTGTTTGTTGTCCTCTTCTCCCTTTTGTCCCTCTCTGGCGATGGTTTACCATTTGGTGTGGGTGAGTGATAGTCGGCTTTGATTTTCGTCGCAGGTACCTTGAGGGCAGTGGTTGGTGGTCCCCACCACCTCAGAGGGGTACCAGTTGTCGGGCAGTCGTTGATGCTTAACCACATTTGTCCGTTGTTGACGAAGTCAATCCCGACCAGGATGAACACCTTGCCCGAGCCTTCTTAGTTGCTTGTTGACAAAGACGATCCCGACCAGGATGAACACCTTGCCCGAGCCTTCTTTGCTTTCCTCCGGCAGCGTCAGTCCTTATCCCCATGGACCCACTTATTGGCCCCACATATTGGCCACACAACAGCCCCTACCTGTGGGATTCGTCTTCCCTCGGGTCCGATCGACTATTGTGGAGAGTGAGGACTTCCGTGCGTGAGGTCTGTACTCGTTGTCGCTTACTTGGTCGTACCTTGTCCACTTGCCCCTACGCTGACGCCCTCCAGCGGTACTTTGCTCAGTTTGTGCAGACTGTAGAGGAGGGTTCAGTTCAGCCTCCTGATAATGATTCCGTCGGTAGGTGAAACTGCGACGAAACAGTTTGTCACAGCCCCTCATTTCTTGTCCTCTTCTCCCTCGATTGAAGCGCCATGGAAGCAGGGGAGAGGACACTTGACTAAGAGAGAGTGGATTGCAAACAAAGCACAGAGGTGACAGAAGGCTGCAGCAAAATCTGCAACAGCAGCAGACAATGTTGCGGCTGTGAAGGCTGTAGCAGAAACAGGCAATGGGTATGCTTCACACATAGGGAGCAGAAGGAGAAGCAGCGGATGGAAAACTGAGGTTAACTGACAGAGCAAGAGCAGGCGAACCCTGGAAAACGTTCATCAACTGAGCTGAAAGCAATGCTGCAGCTGGGTTGGGGTCGTCATCATCGTCGTCAGCACCGTCATCAGCAAGTCTCGTAAACTGCATCGGCAGTGATGAAGGTGGCGATGGGCAAGAAGTGATGGATCAAATGGGGGGAAGGTGCTGCAGAGGGAGCGGCAGACAATGAGGAGGGGGAARRGTGCCGCAGAGTAGGGAGATGCTTCAGAAGGGTCCAGGGGGGTGTGGGTGTGGGTGTGGGTGTGGGTGTTTAGTGAACTTTCAGTTGGATTGTGAAGTGTGTATTGCTATTGTTAAACCACCAGTACTTGGCCCAGATATCGGTGGCCGGAAAAAAAACGAGAGTAGAAACGTTTCTAGTCAGAAGAATTTGGGCGATCCTGTAGTGGCCGGTACGTTTCCTAAAGTYGTGGCTTGGCTAGTATACGGGCACGACTTTAGGAAGTAGTACTCACGGGACTAGCTGAGAACTATGTGCCTAGCTCCCGAGGTTCCCGTATAACGAGGCTTGTACGCTAGTGCCAACTGGGGCTGAAGGGGGGAGCTCATTCAGCGTCGGTGCCCGCGTCCACTGTCTGGTCAGGTTGCTCCAGTAGAGAGTGATGTTCCTCGCATGAGGTAAGATAGAAATGGAGTGGGGGTGCGCCAGGAGATATATCGAGAGGAGTGGTGGGATGGGAGTCTTGAGTGCAAAAAAAAAAAAAAAAAAAAAAAAGGTTTTTTTTTTTTTTTTTTTT